CCCCCCCCCCCTCAAAAAAAAATGCTATTGGGTGTAAGGCTGTGTTGCTGGAACAAGAACTCCCCCAGGAGCTGGGAGAGTACCATTCTGCATGACGGTCAACCCTCACCCCCAGGTATACTGCTGGGTGTAGGGCTGTACTGCCCAGCCACCATCCAGCTGGACAGTGCAGAACCACCTCTGTTGTGGCAAAACTCCATGGGAGTGGGGGGGATTCAGGTGCCCCTTCATAGTCGATGCCTGGGACTGGTGCCACTCCCCGCCCTGCCCTGCCCCTCCTCCCCCTCTCCGTTAGGCTATTACTACAAACTGCCTTGTTATACATTGGATCTCATGTTGGCCAACAGGTGGCAAAATAACCTTTTCTTCGTGCTGGAAATGCATCCTGTGCGTCTGAACTGCATGCAAACAGCTGGAAGTAGTAACAGAAGCCAGCACTTAGTATCTGCAGCAGCTCCAATGGGGGTTGAGAGAGGCACTGGCACACACAAGCTCATACTGGTGTTCTAAGCAGCACATGCTGTGATGGCCCTTCCAAGTGCCAGCAGCTCTGTGGTGGTCCTCAGCAGTAGCCATCCTACCAATCGTGGAGTGAGCTGGACTCACCTTTTTTGCTTCTTCCTCTCTCTACCTTCTCTTTTCTCCCATCCCCTGCCTGCTTGAAGATATGAGGCAGAAATCAATGGGGTAAAAGGCAAGTTGAGTTAAATCACATGTTCATATGTGAAAAGAAATTGGGCTGTCACCTATGTAAAAACTAAGCTTCTTGCTGATTTGCACCCTTTGACTTCAATAGAGTTGCTCAGCATGCAAGTCAGTGTAGAACTTGGCTTCTACTGTGGGATTTTCCAAAGAGCCTAAGACACTTAAGAGTGCTCCTTGTAGCAAAGGCTTCAAACATATTCAACCCCAAATGACGACCATGATAGCAGAGTTAAAAATTCATTCAGTTTGAGAAATACAAGGGCTTAATACAGCCAAAGAGATTTACACACACACAGATGCCCACGTTTTATGATTGTTTTTTCATTGTTTAATTAGCAGCTTTTTGTGGAAACACAGATTCATGTAGGGTTTTTTTCATTTATGCTAACTGCATACTACTTCCCGTATTTGTATGTGATATTTTAAGCTTGATTACCTCCCAGTGTTGATATGTCTGTGCTGTGACTCTGTGTTCAGCTGATGCCTGTTGGCTTCATTGTATGTTTCCAAAAATACAAACTTCAGAGCAGCAGGGATTCAACCAAAATAACTCTTGAAAGGAAGTAGTTGCAGCACGCGTAGGTAAGCTAAGCAGCCAAGCAATACTAAGTGTTAAATGTGCATTTCTTTCAACATCCTGTCTCAGTGCATGCTGGAGTGTTGTCTCAAAATGCTTTCTAACTTGCTCTTTCTGCTCTGTTTCTTCATGCTTTCCCGGATTCAGAGAGAGGTAAACTATTTTAATTTCTCCACCATTCTCCCTGTTTATCTGCCTGGCATTTAAGAGACACAGCTAGTAGCAGTCAGCATTGTCTTACAAAAGCTAAACTTAAAACTCTAGGGAGGTCTAAACTCAGACTGTACTAGATCACATTTGTAATCCAGTAATGACAGTTTTGTTGCACCCCCCTCCCTGCTTTCCCTCAAATCAGGAAAATGGCTTAAAAATCACACAATGTGAAAAAAGGAGGGGGCTTTTTACTGTCTTCTGGCATTTGAACAATTTTTTTAGCTTCTCTATAAACCATGGGACACAGAATTTTTTATTTTTCACTAAAAGCTGAGATCCTCTTACTTTAATGTCTCCAGGAGCAGCAGTTTAAGCAAAATATGAAATGTCATGGCAGTTCACAGCACTAAAATAATTCCTTTTTTTATTCCATGTTTGGGTGGAAGGTTGTCTTCCAAACTTAATAAACTCTTAGCAGTGTAGATTTACCTGTGTGTTTATACAAGGTGATTATTTGGGATTGTGCATGATAACACCTTTTGCAATGGAATAGGCACTATCATGTGGTTTGTAGCTCCAGGACTCACCCATTTCTTTCTGACAGAATTGGACTTTTTGGGTCAGAGTTAGGTTTAGTTATCAGTTCAGCTTTGTTTGTTTTTCTTAATTGTAAGGACATGGCATTCAAGGAGCACAGGAAAGAGAGAGTTCAGAGATGTGGACAGACAGTTCCTCAGGTTTGCTTCAAAGAATACAGTGAGCAAAGTTCACAAGCTAGACTGGGTTTTAATCAGTTTTTTAGAAAGCATTGGCCTAGGGAAATGTTTGATGGTGGTTATGGCTTTGTGATCTAATCTAAAGTTCATGCATGTAAGAAATCATGATTATTCTAGACTAACATTGACAAAAGTGTGCTGTGATCTTCTTTTCTGGTTTGGAACATACTGTGATTACTTTGTTTTCTGTCTGAATAATAAAGAACAAAGGGGAACTGTCATACACAATTGTGTAATATGGCAAATTAGAATCAAGCTGATCAAAACTTTACTTCACATTTAATTGCAAATGGCAGTCAATACCAGAACAGTGACCATCTCAGTTGACATTTTGATCAACTACTCAAATATCTCTTACCAGCAAAGGCTCAAACCCTTTGTATGGAGGTTGTTGCCTAAAGTTTCCAAATGCTTATTTACAAATTCAGATATTTGAGTTAGTCATGGTACCAAAGAGTTTGTTCAAAGATGTATAGGCATAATAGAGTATTCATATAATTTTAGTCATTGTAGCATTCACAAGTGTTGATGGATTGACCACTCTGGAGAACAAAGCCTTCCTTCTCTTTGCTACAGTGACTAGTGGCATTTGTATCTTTCCAGTCTGCCTTACCTGTGTATAATCCCCCTATAGGGAACATCTCTAGGGGTGAGCAAACATCAGGAAAGAACTGGGGACATACCTGCTCCAAAATATTTTCCCTTCCAAAAAGATTAATATTCATAAAACAACAAAAGCCAGAGCCTCAGCTGATACAAATCAGCTTAGGTTTGAATGCAGCAAGGAAGGTTCATGCTAGCTCCAGCTGTGGACAAATGTACATTTGTAGTGATACAAGTGCCAGAGGTTTTGTCATGGTGCAAAGCTATAGTGCTACCAGAGATGTACATACACGGGGTCAGCAGCTGTGGTTCCTGCCACTGTGGTGAGCAGAGCGGCAGCCTTCAGGCCCAGCTAGGTTGCAGCTGTCTTCCTCATCATTAACAGACTGATGGAGGGAGCCTTAAGCTCTCATTGAGCTTGTTGCAGTTATGCTGCCTCCCTCTCCCCTTGGTGGGGGGAGGGAAAGGGAACACTGTAGGATGCTGTGGAACAAGAGACTCCCTGTAGCACACATTGCATGTGGTGTTACAAAACGTAGCATAACAGAAGCTCCTGTTTCACCCAGGATCATTTCTAGAGTGCTCGCAGCATTTCTTGTATGGATGCCTGTCTGTACATCAGCAGACAAGGTTCTTTGGGTAAATGTGATATATTTTATTAGACCAACTAAATTGTTGGAAAAATTGTTCTTTGCATGCTTTCAGACATAAACACCCTTCTTCAGGCATAGGGAGAGTCTGCTGTTGTTTTGCATTCTCCTGAATAGACTAGAAGCCAATATGCAAAATGCAGGTCTCTGAAAATGCACATGCGTGACAGTGAGGATCAGAGGCCACAGGAGACGATAGGTATGAGACAGGTAGGTGGGGGGAATGTTGACCTGGTGCTAGAATGTCCCTGATAAAATGCAGACAGGTTACCTGGCATTAACGGATGGCAAGCAGGTTATAATGTGCCATGTATCCAGGGTCTATATTTAGTCCATGATTTTTTTTTGTAGCCAGTAGATTTATGAAATCAAATTCATAGGCTCACCTATGAAAGGTGTTTTGTAAATTCTCTTTGAGGATTAGAACTGAGAGATTAGACAGAGTGGTTGTCCTGTGAGAAGTGTGCACCCACAGGTAATTGGGTGTTTCTGTCTTTGATAAATTTTCGGTGTGCATTCATTCTGGTATGCAGTTATTTGATTTCTCCTACACATTTTCCATCAGGGCACTTAGTACACTGGATAAGATGTTACATTTCTGGAGGTGCAGCTGTACGATCCAGGAATGGTGATGGTTCTGTTGTGGGTGTAGTTATTGTGGGAGTGGTAGAGATATGTTGGCAGATTTTACATTTCTTGTCCCGGCATGGTCTGGATCCATGTTGTGTGTTTTGGGTCGTAGGAAGTTTGCTTCTGATGATGAGATTGGTAAGGTTCGGTGCTTGTTTAAAGGCTAGGATGGGCGGTTCTGGGAAGATCTCTTTAAGAACAGGGTCTTCTCCTAGTGTGGGATGCAGTTGTTTGAGGATTTTCTGTACAGGTTCCAGGAAGGGATGATATGTCTTAACTCACGGTGTGCAATTCATGGGGATTTTCTTTTTGTACTGAAGCAATTCTTCATGTGGTATCTGGGTGGCTCTTTCAAAAGTGTGGTCTATCTCTCTGGAGCAGTGTCCTTGTTGGGTGAAAGCCCTTTTGAGATTTGTGAGGTAACAATCACAGGTGTTCTCAGTGCAAATTTGGTGCTATCAGAGGGCTAGACTTTAGATTGTCTGTATATCCACTTTTTGTAGCTACAAAGGTATGCTACAAATGTAATGTCTATCCACAGTCTGAGGTTCTCTCCCTAAAATTGTACCTGAAATCTATTAAAGTAGAAAAAAAACCCCCCAAAAATGGAAGTTATGGCAGAGGCACCCTTCTGGATTTGCTGCTGTCTCAGAACTACTTCACAGTTAGGGCGGCTAGGATCTGGAACCAACTTCCAAGGGAAGTGGTGCTGGCTCCTACCCTGGGGGTTTTTAAGAAGAGGCTTGATGCCTACCTGGCTGGAGTCATTCGAGCCCAGTTTTTCTCCTGCCCAGGCAGGGGGTCAGACTTGAAGAGCTACAAGGTCCCTTCCTACCCTACTTCTATGATTCTATGATAACAGTAGTATACCCACAAACCAGGCATTACATGTAGAAGAATGAACTTGAGAAGAAAGATCTATATAGACCTTAAACCCTGACTTTGAAGTGTATGATTTTTGTCACTTGGTATTTAAATTCATGGTGCTTAAACATTTCATGACTGATGACATAATGCCACCTTAAAGTACTAATTTTGTGGTCTTTGTCAGTGACAGAATTTAACTCTTGGTTATGGAGAACAGTTTAAATAGTTTGTTTGGCTCAACAGCTTATCCCTTTTGCTAACTGGGAAGTCCTGCTGCGTCCAAAGGGAATTTTATCTAGTCCTCTGTTAGACAGATGGTGCTTTTGATGTGGAGACTTACGGTTATGTGGGAAATGTTTTCTCAAACTTTTAAAGACCTACAGTGCTTTAAAATGAGGAACTGAACCAATAGAAATGCTTTAAGATTGGATCACAGCTTGGAGCGTAATGACCCCACTGATCTGCATACTCTGAAGGTCCCACATTTATGGGGATTTTAAAAAGTAAATGTAAAAGTAAAAAGTAAAAGTGTATGAAAATGTGAGAAGAATTTCTAAGTCAAGGAATAGCAGGCAGGGTATGCGTTTTAGGATTGTCAAGTTACAACCGTTATGCGTCCCATTCCCACTAAAGCTATACCACCAGAGCTCAGAAGACTTCTATAAAGTTAATAAGTAATGTAAACAAATAATTAAGAGAAAATCATAGTTTCCACTATGGGATAATTAGCACTACAGTCTACATCCATGAATGAATACGAAAGAATGCTTTAGTTGGTCTAATGAAAGATATCGCCTCTAGCTCAAGAGTTTTGTCTGGCTCTGCTTTTTAGATCAACATGGCTACAAGCTATATTCCTAAGAAAGACAAATTGATTGTCTTCAATGTTAGACCTTTCAAGGCATGCATAAGTGCTTGAAAGAATTTATGCTCATTGGAAAGGGAACAGGTCTTTAAGTTTCATTCTAGAGCCTGAATTGGCTAAAAACTGAAATTAGACTTTTTTAGGACCCACTGGTAAAAGGAATCCTAATAATTTGAGGGAAATTTTACTGCCTGAGTTTCCTGCAGTCTTACATCATTTGCAATCTCAACCCTTTGTATTTAATTAGACAGCAGCTTTGTTTATTTTTCTTAATTGTAAGGTCCTGGCATTCAAACAGCAAGGATCTATACAGAATAGGTTTGTCAGACTGAAGAATAACTGACTGTGTATTTTAGAGTTTCCAATAGCAAATACCAAAACTTATCTGAAATGTGGAACCCTTCTTCTAAGTATTATATGTACTCCAGTACACATAGTGAAAAAGACGTGTGGTTTTGGCACAAAAAATATGAACTAATTGGTCTTTCTCCCCAGGCCTTAAATGTTTAAAATCCAGGTCAGATGAGAGGGGTACCTGGATCATGCAAACTATTAAAAAACTCTTATTTTTGCTGCTCATCTGGATATTCCATATTTCATTATTGTGAG